TCTTTGTCCTTGTTCACTACAATGGAGTGATTAGTGGGGTCTGCATCCCTCCTTAGAAGCCAGGAAGAGGCTGTTATAATTGTAACTAGACATACCTACCTGAATTATTTCAGTTCTTTTTTTTCCCCTTGGAATGCATGCCATTTTTAATCTACTTGCAGTCCAGTACCAGTTGAGCATCTCAAATCTGAAAATCCGAAATATGAAATGTTACAAAATCTGAGATCTTTTGAGTGTCAACATGATGCTCAAAGGAAATGCTCATTCAAGCATTTCAGATTTTGGATTTTTGGATTTGGGATGCTTATCTGGTAGGTATAATGCAACTATTTCAAAATCTGAAAAAATCAGAAATATGAATTGCTTCTGGTTCTCCAAGGATTTTGGATAAGGAATATTCAACCTGTATAAATTAATCTCTCTGGAAGCTTTGCTTTATTGTTGTTATGTCTACACTAAGAAACTTACAAGGATCTATTTTCCCTTAAGTTTTATGGAACACTTATTATGTAGCAGTCCCAGTGCTAGACTCTCCTGTTCATGTAAAGTCTCATGATAACCCTAAAGGGTAGGCATTGTTCTTATCCCCATTTTACAGATATGGAAATGGACACATAGAAAGACTAAACAATTTGCCAAGGTGACACCTTGACTAAACAAGGTGACAAGCAGAGGAAGCTGGGTGTAAACTCACCTTTGACTCTAGACCTTACTCCTAACCTCTGACCTATACAGTGTGCTACTGAGTCAGGCATTCATGGCCTCCCGAAACTTGGAACCAGTCTTTTCTTCTAGTTTGCCTCTCACTTGAGCCAGTGTGATAACAAGAAGAATGAGAGCCTGGTCTTTGAAGTGAATCTGAGCTCTGCTACTTGCTAGTAATATTACCTAGGCTAGTTAAGATAACCCATCCCTTCTGAATCTCCATGTCCTCATGGAGGGAGTTGAAACTAGATATTCATGGGTAAAGAACTGATAGAGAAATTGGAGGTACACCTATACTAGGTTTGGTGGTGCAGAAAATAAGAGACTGAGGGAACAGAGAGATTGTCATAGTGTTTTTGTTTTAAAGTAGGGGAGGGCTAGGTGCAGTGGCTCATGCCTGTACTCCCAGCACTTTGAGAGGCTGAGGTGGGTAGATTGCTTGAGCCCAGGAGTTCGAGACCAGTCTGGCCAACATGGTGCAACCCTGTCTCTATAAAAATACAAAAATTAGTCAGGTGTGGTGGCACATACCTGTAGTCCCAACTACTTGGGAGGCTGAGGTGAGAGGTTGGCTTGAGGCTGGGAGACAGAGGTTGCAGTGAGCTGAGATCTCACCACTACACTTCAGCTTGGGTGACAGAGCCAGACCCTGTGTCAGAAAAAAAAAAAAAAAAAAAAAGTAGGGGAAATCTCAATCTACTTATAGGTCAAAGGAAAGAAGTCACTGAGGAGCAAGGATGGAAGAAATGAATGGGGAAGTGGTGGGAATAGAAAATGGGACATATTGATGTATACTCCTCCTTTGTGATTTAAAACAAAAGTCTTTTATAGACACATGACTGAAAGCTAATATGATAAAAAATCTTTTGAGTCAATATATTTTGAAATAAACTGACTATATAAGACACATTAAAAAGGTCAAAAGGATGACTAAATTGTTGAGATTAAATTACATTCAGGCTCTTTACTAATTTTTACATTTAATGTGCACAATATTCTTGTAAGATCGGTACTTTTATTGTTCCAATTTACAGATGAGAGGATTGAGGTATGGAGAATTTTAAGTAACTTGCTAGGGTTACATAATTAGTAGGTGGCAGAGCCAGGATGTGAACAGAGGCAATTTAACTTGGAAGCCTGCATTCTTAGTCACTATGGTATACTGCTTCCCAATTTGATTTCCTCAATTAACACTTGACTACTATTCCAAGTAATATTTTTGTCTATTTTATATCAGGGAAGGAGGACTGTTCTAAGGAATGATTTTCCAAAGAGGATTAATACAGTGCATTAGACAGAGATCCTGTTTGGAGGAAAGGCTCATTAAGAGTTACTCCAAGCCCCTACCTGGCTGGAGCAGAGTGGGCTTCCAGCCATAGCTCTCCAGCAGATCTTGTGCCTGCAGACCCTGGTAAATAGCTGAGCAGAGACCATGACTTCTAGGACTAGAAGGTTAGTTAATAAGGTGCAAAAAAGGAAAAGCATACACTTCCCATTGCCTGGGAGAATAGCATGTGCCAACAGCTCTCTTCCAAGATCTAGAAACCAACCTGTAGCAGCTGCTCTATGTGGAGGTATTAAGTGTTGTTAAAACACCTGTGTGTGTCTAATTCTAGCCCAAACAAGTCGTCTTCCAGCTCATCGGGGGAGGGGGTAAGAATTTACCTATATGGAGATTCTATTTCCAGTAGAATGAGTTATTATATCCTGTAGATATTTCTCTCCCTCCCCTCTCTAAAAAATCGAGGTATAATTTACATACAAAAATGTATGGATGTTAAGTGATTAGTCTGATAAATTTTGACAATTTGTATAACCATGCAACACCATGCCAAACAAGAAAATCCTCATATGTTCCTGTCTATGCAGTGCCCCTTTCTGTCCCTCTGACTTCTTTTTTTTTTTTTTTTTGAGACGGAGTCTCGCTCTGTCGCCCAGGCCGGAGTGCAGTGGCACAATCTCGGCTCACTGCAAGCTCTGCTCTGCCTCCCGGGTTCACGCCATTCTCCTGCCTCAGCTTCCCAAGTAGCTGGGACTACAGGCGCACGCCACCACGCCCGGCTAATTTTTTTGTAATTTTAGTAGAGACGGGGTTTCACCATGTTAGCCAGGATGGTCTCGAACTCCTGACCTCGTGATCCACCCACCTCGGCCTCCCAAAGTGCTGGGATTACAGACGTGAGCCACCGCGCCCAGCCTGTCCCTCTGACTTCTATCCCCATTAGATTAGTCTTGCCTGTTCTTTTATTTCGTATAAATGAAATTATACAGATATATTCTGTTGTGTCTGGCTGTAGTGTGGTGTGTATTCTTACAATGGAATACTTCTTTACAATAAAAAGGAATCAACTACTGACACCACAACAGCTTGAATGAATCTCCTGTGAAGTTACGCATTGAAGCTTGTAGGGTCCTTTTTGTTATATTACTTGCATAGTCTTAGTAACCAAAATGACCCACAAAATCTGCTTCTTTTACTTGCCTATCATAGTGCACAGTTGTCAACTTCATTCCCCGCCCCATTCTCTCATATATTATCTGTGTGACTTTAGAACACAGCCAATTTATATTCAACTTATGGGTGATCATGATAATGACTTTTGAAAGGAATTTAAAATTGTAGAATGATTTTTTTTAAAAGGAAATATGTTAGACATGTTACATGGTTTCTTTTTGGTATTTGCAAATGTCAGGAGTAAAAGAAGCAAGGAAGCAGACCCACTCTCTCGTGGGTGGCTGTCCAGTGGGCCCTGGATGTTCATTTCATGACTACTACATGCTGCGTGCTGTGCACTTTTCATTGTCATGAGAGAGAATGTTAAGAAAACTATCCCCGCAAGAAAACAGCTTTTCTTGGCAAGTGAAATATGACTTAAGGAGCCAGAACTGGAGACATACGGTACTATGAATGAGAGCTGTGTTACTTTATTGGATCTGAGTCCAGGCACTATTTATACTGCAGCATATTCAGCACCAGATTGTTAAATCTTAATACTGAAACAGTGTATCATTTTAATATTTTTGTTCTGTTTATTCCCTGTTTTCAAGCATTATGTCAAGCATTGCGCATTCATTTATTTCATCTTGGACAGGACGTGCCCTGACCAGAAAGTTCATTTCCTATTGTTGGAGTTTTGCCCCGTAGCTATCACTTTGTGAAGCTTTTAAACGTTCACTTGGGTACACAGGTGTTCTCTCTTTGATGACAATATATGTTTTTAAAGAACAGTGTAGTTGGACTCACCTGTATTGTCAAAAATAAAAATGCTGTTTTCCTTTGATCACTAAAGTATCACTGCTTTTTCTGTGTGGCAATTTCTGACATCCTGGAGACCATGGGATTTTTCATTGCATACAAATAAAATTTTTGTTACCGTGTGTCATATGTGAAATGGGTTTCTCTATTTTTCTTCATCAATGTTATGTGTGCCCTGTGTCCCAGATAAAACGGGCCTATCTTATGAATAAGTTAGCATTTTCACCATATGTTGCTGAAACCATCCCATGAATCTTCCTCTAACAAGGGTATTCCTAAAATTGCTGCTCTACGTAGCCCCAGCTTAGAAAGGATTTTTATTATTTCTTCATTGTTATGCATGTTTACCATATGCAGCAGGAAATCCACAGGGAAAAAGTACTATTGTCACTGTCTAAAGAGCTGAGGAATTAAAAAAAGAGGAAGTTGAGGGCATCTTTGCTGTTTCTGATCTGTGGTCAGTCACCGGGGTATTGCATTTGGCCTGGGAAAGCAGCCCCACTGCCTGCTGAAACGCAGACATGGGAGCGAACTCTGACTGCTTCATGAGCTCCAAATGCTGTTCGCACTGGGAATCGCACCACAGTCAGGATGTAACTGCGTGCTGAGCCCACACACAGGAATTTTCTTGTACAATTCAAAACTGAATCTTATATTTACTTAAGGCTTAGTTTTTTTTTTTTTTTTTTGTCTATGAAATCAGCAGTCCTGTATATTTAGCATCAGCCTTAAGTTAGAATGTGAAACAATTCTGGGGGGAAGGAAGTATCCGTATGGTTTTCTAAGTAATTTAAGAAACAGGAAAACATAAAAGAACTGATTGTCTGTGATTAAACCTCATTCTTTCCTTCCCATCTTCCTGTATAGTTAACTAACTCAATTGTCAGCCAGAAAGAAATAGCTTATTGCTCTGGGTTGTAAAATATCTGAGTGGGCCTTGGATGTTGATGATTGAATGACCTTCTTAACATTGAACAAACAATGGGAAGGTTTAATAAATAGCAGATATGTGTTTATTATGTTTTTCTTCCCTGTGCAGGAATAATCAAGCTGGGAAGGTGGAACCCTCTCCCCCTCAGTTATGTGACAGATGCACCCGACGCGACAGTGGCCGACATGCTACAAGATGTCTATCATGTTGTGACGTTGAAAATCCAATTACAAAGGTGGGTGTTTCTGAACATCTGCTTTTCCTTACTCTCAGAGCTGTTCCGTCAATCATAGATTCACTGCAAAGATTAGCATGTCCTGTCTTTATTAATTTCTGGACATTGGACAAAATGAAAAGAAGGAGAGAGAAGGAGAGAAGAAGAAGGAGGGCCCTTCCCCAGGTGTCTTTATAGTCACATTCCAATTACTTTATGCTTTGTTTTCAGAAGCAGTGAAGTGGTAACCTAGGGGCAGCTTGACAAATCATTAAAAATCTATAGCCCTTAGGAGGAACTTTACACAGTCCCTTACTCAATGGGTCCTTTAGGCCTGGTTAAATGTGTAGCACATAGTATTTGAAGAATAAACACCTCTGCTGTTTTCAGATTTGTGTTATGAGGGGAGAGTTTTGTTCTTGTAGGAGGTTTAGCAAGAATGTCCTGACATAGGAGACCTTTTTCTTCCCTTTCCGAGGCCACATCAAAACAAACAAACAAACAAACAAACAAAAAACACTTTGTGGCCTGCAGAGATTCTGGGGATGATTTCTTTATTTTTTCAAATATGGCATCCAGAACAAGATATCCCTCTAAAGAACTGGAGGTTCTTTGCAGTCTTTTATTGTAAAGTGCCTGCTAGGTGTGATTAAGGAGCGTTGTCCTTTAGTGTAAGTGTTTTGGATCTCCCCCTTTTCGGGAATTTATACTTTAAAAATGGACTCCTGGCATCCCCATCTGTGTCTATGAATGGGTGAGGATAGAGGTTCAGAAAGTAACTCTGAGCCATTCTATGAGGATGAGGGTGGGTCTTCCAACTGCAAATCTGACGGGGAATGCTTGTTTACAGTTAACCTTAGGCATGCTCAATAATTACATTTGTATTGGGGAAGTTTATAACCACACTGCCATGCCATTTCCATCAACACATTGGAAAAATCATATTTTATAAAAATAGCATTTCTTGTATCAGAAGGGACTAGTTTTCTTGGATGAGTGAGAGGACAAACTTAAAAGAGACCCTTTGGGCTCTAGCAAAGTCTTGGAGAAGCAGTTTTACTTCCCTTCCTTCACTTAGACCCCATTCTTCAGCATTTCTTCTGAAGCTCCCACAAGACCCAAGAATAGCTGCTGCGCTGTCTCCTCTTCGGTCAGGGGCCCTGGGTGAGGTGTGTGTATTGTTCATTCTTGCTCTGTTTTGCAGTTGTTCAAAGTTGGAAGACTTGCCTGCGGAGCAGTGGAACCATGCCACAGTCCGCAATGCCTTAAAGGAACTGCTCAAAGAGATGAACCAGAGCACATTAGCCAAAGAATGCCCTCTCTCCCAGGTCAGTATCTTCAGGTGGGGGTCTGGGAAACAGAAGAAGCCATTGGTAGACTCTCCGGCAGTGGGGTTCCTTCTTCTTAAACAACTGTCTTCTCTTTTATTTATAGACTTACACTGCATTTGAGGTGTAAAAGATTATGTTGCTTCTGGTTGTAGAATTGAAGTTATAACTTATTGGCCGGGCACAGGGTAGCTCATGACTGCAGTTCCAGCACTTTGGGAGGCTGAGGCAGGCTGATTGCTTGAGCTCAGGAGTTTGAAACCAGCCTGGGCAACATGGCGAAACCCCATCTCTACAAAGAATACGAAAATTAGCTGGGTGCGGTGGCATGTGCCTGTAGTCCCAGCTACTTGGGAGGCTGAGGTGGGAGAATTGCTTGAGACTGGGTGGGAGAGATTGCAGTGAGCCAAGATCACACCACTGTACTCTAGCCTGGGTGACAGAGTGAGACCCTGGATCTCAAAAAAAAAAAAAAAAATAGCATTTATTGAGACTTTAGGGTAAGGAGAGACTATTAAAACATTTTATGTATACAGGCTGGGCATGGTGGCTCACACCTATAATCCCAGCACTTTGGGAGGCTGAGGACAGAGGATTCCTTGAGCCCTGGAGTTCAAGACCAGCCTGGGTAACATAGCGAGATAGCGAGACCCTGTCTCAAAAAAAAAAAAAAAAAAGGAAAAAAAACGTTTTACATATACAGTCATTAACTTCTCACGTATTTCATCGGATATAGGGACCAGTGTCTCCATTTTATAGATCAAGAAATAGGTGCTTAGAGAAGCACTTACATTCACTGCCTAAGCATACGAGCTGGCTAAGTGGTAGGTTGAGATGCTACTTCCCACAGCCCCCTTTCAAAGTGGATGCTCCAGATTGTTGTTTTACTTGGTCAGCTGGATGAGTCAGCCATGCTAAACCCATCTATGCATGATTTATTGGACCTTTTGCCAGTCTGGTGTAGAGAGATGATCTTTACATCATATGCATTTGTAGCGGTTTTGTAGTGAATTCACCACAAGAAAATGCATCTTGAGGAAAAGTGATACTCCATTTTTTAGGGAACGTACCGTACACTAATACAAGCCATGAAAATGAGATTGAGAGGATCAAAAGAAGAGCAGTGGAGGAAAGGGCTGCCTTTTCCATTTCTGTTCATGAGCTGGGACCCCATTTTTTTCTATGGTTGAGATAATATTTTGATAATGGTGGATTAGGGCTGCTGTAGAAATGAACACAGGTTGACAAATTATTCAAAGCTTTGAATGGAAATCTGTTTCCTGGTGTGAGCTGCTACACATGATTTAAGACAATGTCTGTTAAGTTCAAGGGAAAATGATGAGAAACCTATTACAGAAACTTGCTGTGCCATGAGCTTTGTTCCAGGGTAAGGGAGTCTCTGAAAGATAGAAAGGCTATTGGTTAAGAGCATGTATCCTGGAATCAGAGCTGGATTCATGTCCCGGTTGACAAGCCTCTATAACCTTATCTTTATGAGCCCCCCTTGTTTGGTTAGTAAAACTGAGTAGTAATGGTTCTGAGTTATATAAAGAGGATTAAATGATTGGAAATTACATAAAATGCGTGGCCTAATGTGTAGCATGCAGTGATGCACCATAAACAGTATCAGCTATTATTATTGAGATATTATGTGAACTGAATGTGTGTGTGTGTGTGTGTGTGTCTGTCTGTCCGTCTTTGAGGGTGTTTTGGAATTTGGATCCTCTGAAGCAAAGTATACTATTAATATTTTTGCTTCCAAAAAAAATCAAGAAGGCATGTATAGGCAGCTAGATAGAAAAGGACATTATTCTGATCTTATGTTTAGGACTTTTCATGCAGGCCATTTTAAAACCTACCTGTAGATATGTATGTAGATGTTAAAGCCTTGTTGCATACAAAGTTATAAAATGCATATTTTGATTATGTTGGTGATACAGAGGAACTGGCTAAAGAACGAGTTAGGAAAAGCTGTCAATAATTTTTCCCAAATTTCACAATCATTCACAATTAATTTTCTCTTGCATTCACATGGAAGTCAAAATGGGCTTTGCCTGAAAGTGTACAAGCCTCTAACTTGATATTACCAATTCGGAAATTTATCCAGGGCTTCTGAGGTACATGGAAGTTTAGTCCAAACTGTTGTATCATGACAATCATGTTTGGTTATGATTACAAATATGACCTAGAGAGGCAACATGAGTGAGGAGAATCCAGATCAGGACCTGAGAGCCCTGGGCTCTAATCTCAGTTCTTTTATGGCAGATATGTGATCCTGGGCAAGTCCATTCACTTCTCAGAGCCTCATTAAACTCTTCTATAAGCTGGGCATCATTGTATTTACATGTTTCATATAATTCGGGGGGTTGTCTTGTGATGTTCAAATGAGATCATCTTTACTCCTATTATAAAAACTCTTTCCCCCTCCACTGTCTGCTCTCATGGTTTGCCCACTTAGTTGCCTGACCTAAACAGTTCCTTCTCCTTCACCCTTCTGTTTGATCCTATGGGTTCCATCACTTCTCCATCTAAAATCTTTTTCCCTTGTACCACTGCTTTGTTCATTCTTTCATCACCTGTCATCTAAAATATTTCAGGTTTTCTTGCCTCATGACTTTTCTCCTGCCACCTGATTCTCCTGTGTTCCTTGTTTGTAATTCCCCAGTCACTCCCCCTACTCACCCTATAGGAAGTACAGACTCCATAGCATAAGGACCATCAAGATGACACTGTTCAGCCTTATATTTCACTAGAGCTGCCTTCTTCCCTCTTCCTGCACTCATCCTATATCCAGAACAGATTAAATTAATTATTTTGAAATGTTTACCATTGCTCAAAATATCTCTTGAGAGTGGGAGCAACCTAACTAGTATAGCATTACAAATCTAACAAAGCCATCTTCTGTATTATCTTAAAAATTGATGCCGAGTTTATATTCTTGTCCATATACCTGTTTTGCTGTTTTTTGTTTATGTTTTTTTGAGATGGAATCTCATTCTGTCGCCAGGGCTAAAGTTCAGTGGCGTGATCTCAGCTCAGTGCAACCTCCGCCTCCCTGTTCAAGCGATTCTCCTGAGTCAGTCTCCTGAGTAGCTGGGACCATAGGTGCCCGCCACCACGCCTGGCTAATTTTTTGTATTTTTAGTAGAGACACGATTTCACCATGTTAGCCAGAATGGTCTCGATCTTCTGACCTTGTGATCTACCTGCCTCAGGCTCCTAAAGTTTTGGGATTACAGGCGTGAGCCACCGTGCCCAGCCCCTTGTTTTAAATATTTTTTAAATGCCATAAAATCATTTTGCCTGTTAAGTTAGGAATCTCCTTCTCTCCACATGAGACCGGTTCTTCAGGGAGATGTACCTTATTAATCTCTGGCTTTGGAAGCCCCTGCACACAATCCTGGTGACTCTAGAGTCCTTCAGTTTGACATTTGCTTGCCTTTGCATACATGATTTCACCTGGCTAGAATGCACTACTCTTTTCTACTTGATGAAATTATCTTTCAGATTCCAGCTGGGAAGTCACTGCTAGTGAAGTGCCTCAACCTCCTGGTTGAAGTAGTTGCTACTTCTGCTCTTAGTAGCCTTTGTAAATACCCCATCACAGCACTTATCTCAGCCTGTTGTCATTGTTACCTGTCAATTTCCATCACTAAATGAACTGTCCACAATAACAGGGGCCATCTCTTATTGATCTTTGTGTCCACAGCATTCAGCATAATGTATATTTTGTATGTAGCTATTACTATAATGCAGGAGTTTAACCTTTTAGCAGGATAATTCTTTGTGGTGGGGGCTGCCCTGTGCATTGCAGCATCCCTGTCCATTACCCACTAGATGCCACTAGCATGCCACTATACCCCTTCCCCCAGTTGTGACGACCAAAATGTCTCCAGATGTTGCCAAAGGTCCCAAGACAGGAGCAATACCACTCTCAGTCAACCAATTCTCTGATGTGCTTAATGAATTAAGTTTAAAAATGTTTAAGAAAGTGTAGTTTTATTAGTATGTAAAGTTAAAGTTTTATTATTATTACAGTGTTCTTGGCAGCTCCAAAACATTTTGAACCAGAAACAGTGAATAGAATAATTTGGTGATTGATGCCCAGCACATTTCAGTTAAACAGGGGCTCATTTCTATTGTTTATATTTGGGGGAGATTTGATTTAGGCTTCTGATATGTTGTGTAATTATGGAAAATCTCACTGGGGTAGCTCGTTTCAGCTAGCATGGATATGTAATGTGGACCGTGGCATTCATCCTACGGCCATTATCCTTAAACATTCCAGATTATTCACTTAAATTGCATAGCTAGATTGTAATTTAGTGTGGAGATAAGCACGCCCATTTTATTGGTGGTTGTCACCGAACAGATGCATGCAGTTTTTGTAGTTCAGCCTATGTAAAGTGAAACAGAATGTATTTTTGTTCTAAGCAAGGTGAAACAGTAATTCAGCAGTATATTTCCACCGGCATTCCTGGTGTCCTGATTAAGAATCAGGTACTTTGCGATGGGTTAGGGATACAACAGTGAATCTGAGGGAGGAACTAAAATCCTTTCAATATAGGAAGAAGAGAGTGAGGCATCCAGTACTATTCACCTTAGGTGAGAAAGGTGGCTTGTTGGGTTTTTCAAAAATAGACTCAACTCATGAGTAAAAGATTCCTGTTATCGAAATAATTTTTCCTTATTACCTTAAAAGCCAAACCATTTTAGGTGATTCTTCACTTGAGTTTGGCAATTACATAAGGGAATGATTCAGTGGATAGTTCATACTTTATTGAACACTCCAGTAGTCTGCAGTTCAAAAGAGCAGCCTTGAAGGCAGAAGAAGGGTATGGAGAAGTCCGTAAAAGTGCAACAATTGTAGCCTGAGGTATATATATTTAAAACAGGGAAGTAATGATTTAGCCGTTCTCTGTCTGGCCAGATGCTTGGGAAAAAAGTACAGATTGTGGTGTGTGTCTGCATATTTATTTTTGATTTCACCTTTCAAAGTG